CAGTACCGATGGGGACAGGTCTGTCACTATATAACACTGGGGTACAGTACCGGTGGGGACAGGTCTGTCACTATATAGCACTGGGGTACAGTACTGGGTGGGGAGTGAATCTGTGGAATTCTTTACCGCAAGGATGGGGGGGGCGGTGGTGTGTGCTGGGTCTGCTCAGGAGAGTGGGGTGGTCGGATGGATCTTCCCAAGTACCTGGGCTGCAGAGAAGGGCCTACTAGTTTGCTAATGGGCAGAAGAGCCTCCCTCTGTGTTGTCCTGCCATCTTTCCCTGTGAGGATCTAATCAAACTTGCTTTCAGCCCCATTTGCCGAGCCCCTGGTTGGGTGCACCATGGGCTCCTGAACATGGTGAGGGACCTGTTTTGCTGGTCTCGTTTTGCATTGCACCTCATGACTGTCTGTGACCCTAATTCTAAACCTGACCCCAAACCTAAATCTGACACTAACCTTATCCCTAACCTTAACCCTAACCCTCATGTTCGCCCATTGTGCTGGCCCTAACCCTAACCCTAACCCTGACCCTACCGCTAAACCTAACCCTGTTGACCATAAACTGAACAGCAAGCTAGGGACAGTGACAGAGAGACAAACAGAAAGAGAGATGGAGGTAAAGATATCGAGAAGGGAGAAAGACAGAGAGAGAGGGAGACAGACAGACAAAGGGAGATAGAGAGACAAAGACAGATAGAGATAGACAGAGAGGGAGAGGAAGTCAGACAGAGAGTGAGACAGACAGAGAGAAATACAGACAGAGAGGAAGAGGAATTCAGACAGAGAGAGAAACAGACAGAGGGAGAGGGGGAGAGGAAGTCAGACAGAGAGGGAGACAGAGAGAGAGGAAGACAGACAGGGAGAGATAGAGAGACAATGACAGATAGAGACAGAGACACTGACAGAGAGAGAGAGAGACAGACAGAAAGAGGGAGAGGAAGTCAAACAGAGAGGGAGACCGACAGTGGAAGATAGAGAGACAGAGAGACAAAGACAGATAGAGAGAGAGAGACACACACACACACACAGACAGGGGGACAGAGAGAGACAGAGACAGGTAGAGGTGTGGCCCAGTCAGTATCTGGAAAGCGGAATTGAGTGCAATGTCACACATGTTAGATGTTCTCATCAAAGTGAGAAACGAGCAAGCTGCAGGGAGAGACATTAAACAGGCTGTGAACCTTTCAAACTGGAGACAGTGTCAGCTCGTTGTTTACTGTCACTAAACTTTCTCTGCCTAACTCCTCTCTCTCTCTCTCTCACTGTCTTCCTCTATCTCTCTCACTATCTGTCACCTTCCTCTCTCTCTCTGTCTTCCTCTATTAGTCTATCTCTCTCTATCACTTTCTATCTCACTCCCTCTATCATTCTATTTCTTAGACTCTGTTTTGCTCGATCACTCTCTCTCTCTCTGTCACTCTATCTCTCTCTCACTCACTGTCACACTCGTTTTCTCTCTGTCATTCTCTTGCTGTGCCTCTGTCTCCGTCACTCGCGCTCTCTGACACTCTCTATCTCTATCACTCTCACACTGACACATTTCCTGTCGCTTTCTTTATCTGTGTCTATTGCTCTCTCTCTCTCTGTGTCACTCTCTATCTCACTCTATCACTCTCTATCACACTCTTTCTCTATCATTTCCTTTCTCTGCCTCTCTTTCTCTCGATCACTCTCTCCCTCTGTCACTCTATATCTCTATCACTATCTCACTCACTGTCACACTCATTTTCTCTCTGTCTCTTTCTCTGCTCTGTCTCTATCAACCTCTCTCTTTGTCGCTGTCTCTCTCCCTCTATTTCTATCTCCATATCACTCAATCACTCGAACTCTGTTTCTGTCTCACTGCCTCACTCGATCTCTGCCTCTTTCCCTCTCTCTCTATCTCTGTCTCCCCCTCTCTCTCTCTTTCTCTGCTCTCTCTATCACTCTCTGACCGTCTCTCTCTCTCTCTGTCTGCCTCTCACTGTCACTGTCTGTCACAATCTGTTTAGCTCAATCACCCTACCTCTCTGCCCTCTCTCTCTCTACCATTATTACTCTCTTTCTCTGCCTCTCCCTGTCTCTGTCTCTCTGTCACTCTATCTGTCTGTCATCTCTCTCTATCGATCTCTCACTCTCTATCTCTGCCTCTTTTTCTCTCTGTTGCCTGCGCTCTCTATCTCTGCGACTGTCTATCATGCTTTCTGTTTGTGTGTCTCTCACTTTGTGACACTCTGTATCTCTCTATCTCATTGCTTCTGTCTCCCCCTATCATAGACCTATAGAGATGTGCAGCTTGGAAACAGACCCTTCAGCCCAACTCGTCCATGCTGACCAGAAATCCTAAATTAATCCAGTCCCATTTGCCAGCATTTGGCCCCATATCTCTCTAACCCCTTCCTATCCATGTCCCCGTCCAGATGCCTTTTAAATGTTGTAACTGTACCAGCCCCCACCCACTTCCTCTGGCAGCTCGTTCCATACACGCACCACCCTCTGTGTGAAAAAGTTGCCCCTCAGGTCCCTTTTAAATCTTTCCCCTCTCCCCTTAAACCTATGCCCCTCTAGTTTTGGACTCCCTCCACTACCCCTGGGGGAAAAGACCTTGTCTATTCACCCTATCCATGCCCCTCATGATTTTATAAACCTCTATAAGGTCACCCCCTCAGCCTCCGACGCTCCGGGGAAAACAGCCCCAGCCTCTCCCTGTAGCTCAAACCCTCCAACATCCTTGTAAATCCTTTCTGAACCCTTCCACAACGTCCTTCCTGCAGCAGGGAGACCAGAATTGAACACAGTATTCCAAAAGTGTCCTGTACAGCCCCAACATGACCCTCCCAACTCCTATACTCAACGCACTGACCCATAAAGGCAAGCGTTTCACTTTCTGTTTGTTTCTCTGCTTCTCCCTGTTTCTCTCCCACTTCTCTCAACTGTCTCTGTACATTATCTCACACTCTGTCGCTGTCCCTAACTAGTGTTTTTTTCCCCCAAATCTCGATCTATTTCCCTCTAACTGCCCTGACTTGCTCTCTGTTTCGAACTCCCTGTCCCTCGCTCTCTCAAACTCTATCTGTATCTCTCTCTCTCTCTGTCTGTCTCTTATTTCATCACCACTTTAAGTCTCCTCTATGTTCCTGTCACCAGAGGAGGTGACAGAGATAGGGAGGGGGTGTAGGGGATTGGAGGAGGTGACGGAGATGGGGAGGGGGGGGTGTAGGGGGCTGGAGGAGGTGGTGGAGATAGGGAGAGGATGTAGGGGATTGGAGGAGGTGACACAGAGATAGGGAAGGAGTGTAGGGGGCTGGAGGAGGAGCTGACGGAGATATGGAGAGAGTGTGTAGGGCTCTGGAGGAGGTGACGGAGATAGGGAGGGGATGGAGGGGTGACAGAGATAGGGAGGGGGTGCATGGGGCTGGAGGAGGTTACGGAGATGGGGAGGGGGGGTGTAGGGAGCCCCCATTCTCTGTCTGCAGTCCCAGACCATGACCTGAACCCTGCAGCGCCTCCAGCAGAGGGACACCTTACACATTGAATCCACTTTTCACTCAGGGACACAAACTTCCTTCACTTCCCAAATCCTGTTTTTGGGTGGGGGAGCATGGGGGTGTTGGAGGCAGCTGGGGGGGCTGTGCGCGTCGCAAAGTCGAGAACAGCAACGGGAGCGTGCCCTTTGGCCCCCTCGGGCCTGCTAGCCCCCCACTGAGTGGGATCGTTACTGACCCCGCGCCCCCAACTCCCTTCGATCTCTTTCGCCCCTGAGAACTTTATCAAAATCCTTCTCAAAAACGTTGAATATTTTTGGTCCTGACTGCGTTCTGTGCCAGAGAATTTCACAGTCTCACCCCCAACTGTCTGGGTGAAGATATTTAGGAGGGTCAGCGCCGAGGGAGCGGGGCGCTGTCGGAGGGTCAGGGCCGAGGGAGCGGGGCGCTGTAGGAGGGTCAGGGCCGAGGGAGCGGGGCACTGTCGGAGGGTCAGGGCCGAGGGCGTGGGGCGCTGTCGGAGGGTCAGCGCCGAGGGAGTGGGGCGGTGTCAGAGGGTCAGGGCCGAGGGAGCGGGGCATTGTTGGATGGTCAGGGCCGAGGGAGCGGGCGCTGTCGGAGGGTCAGGGCCGAGGGAGCGGGCGCTGTCGGAGGGTCAGGGCCGAGGGAGCGGGTGCTGTCGGAGGGTCAGGGCCGAGGGAGCGGGGCACTGTCGGAGGGTCAGCGCTGAGGAAGACCATTCAGCGTCCATTCTCCCTGCTTTTCCTTGTCTGTTGAAGTAGGCCATTCAGCCCATTGAGTCTGCTCCGCTGTTCAATGAGATCAGATCATCCTCAACTCCACCCTCTGGCCTTTTCCCCATAACCCCTCGATCTCCCTCCTCCTTACTGATTAAGAACCTTAGCCTTGAATACACTGAGCAACCCAGCACCCCCCACCATTCTGCGGTAAAGAATTCCACAGATTCACCCCCTGACTTCCTCGGAGAGAAGAAATTCCTCCCCATCTCTCTCTTCAATGGGCGACCCCCACCACCCCACCCCCTTATTCTGAGATGACACCCTCTGGTCCTAGAGTCTCCCACAAGATGGGGGGGTGGGGAACAGCCTCTCCACATCTTCCCCCCGTCACGTCCCTCCACCTCCACCCACGTTCCCCACCACACCCCAGGACTCTCGTACATTTCAATAAGGTCGCCTCTCATTCCTGTAAAAATCCCAACGGGTACAGGCCCCCCCCCGACCTACTCAACCCCCCCTCCCTCCCGAGACAGTCCCTCCGTTCCCCACTCCGTCCCCGTCACCGGGATCGGCCGAGCGAACCCTCTCTGGGCTGCCTCCGACTCTGGTCTAAAGCTGCTTGGATACGGGGCCCCACCCCCCGCCCCCACCCTCCCGCAGGGAGCACAGACGGCCCAAGCGCCCAGTGCTAGCCCTTCTCGGGCAGCGGGGCCAAACGGACTACAAGTCCCAGGCAGGCCTGGGCCCCGGGGAGGGGGAAAGGGGTGGGTCTCTGAGGCCGGCGGATGTCGGGAATGTGACTCAGAGCAATGGGAATGCCACAGCAGGAAGTGGGAGGTGCACGGCTATGCAGTTGAACAAAACAAAAAACGACACAGGACGAGGAGGCAGACGTGGGGAGAATTTGATCCGGCCCACACAGACACACACACGCGCACACGCTCACTCACAAACACACACACACACACACACACACACACAGCTAACCCTACCCCGAGGTAAGTGAGCCAGCCATTGCTACAGGCAGACAGGGGCGAATTGAAAAAGTTGTTCACTCTCTCTCTCTCTGTCTTTCTCTCTCTCTCTCTCTCTTGCTCTCACTCTCTCTCTTTTTCTCTCTCTGTCTCTCTCTCTCTCTGTCTTTCTCTCTCTTTGTCTCCCTTT